ACAGGTAACCTCACAAACAGGTAACCTCACAGACAGGTAACCTCACCAACAGGTAACCTTACAGACAGGTAACCTCACAGACAGGTAACCTCACAGACAGGTAACCTTACAGACAGGTAACCTCACAGACAGGTAACCTGACAGGTGTTGGTCCTTCAGTCTGGAAGAACAGATTATATTTTTAGACACACTGTATAAAATGACATGGTGAGATGTTTCTTGATTCTTCAGTTTAATGTTTAGGATTACAGAGAGCTGGAGTCTACATCCAGCTGTCACCAGGACACACACAAACACCTGGGACAGCACACTCACACCTGTATTTAATCCAGCACTTCTCAAACTTTAGTACCCCTGCCCAGGTGAAAAAATATTATACTAAGTATACTAAATCTAAGTATACTTTAGTATACTTGAAGCGGCACTAATCATCAGTATACTTAAAGAGTGTTATTTTGGAACAACTAATTTAATACTAAATATACTTTAGTCGTATTTAAGTTGTACACAAGCACTATTTTAAGTGTATTAAGTATACTTTAAAATACTAAAATGGAACAACTTCAAATATGCTTAGTACACTTTAAGTGTATATCTTTGTGTATACATTTAAAGTGTACTAAGTATATATGATGGCCTTTAAAACCAAAAGCTGAAGTCAGACGTATTAAAGGACTGAAACATTAGAATTAGACGTGTTGGAGAAACAACAACAGACATGAATGTTTCACTTTGATTAGTTTTTATCAACACGAAGAACATGTCTGTGAGAAGATCTTTGTTTCCCAGAAGAGAGGAAAGATTTATTTCTTATCGCTGTCAGTGAGAGCTGAGAGAGGACAGGTGGTCAGAGGTCAGCCTGAGGTCAGGGCTGTACACTACACCTGGAACATCTCACTTCTTGGGTTTACTCCAAGCTGAAGTCTTTGTAGCTGTGGAAGGGACGGTTCATGTTTGAGCATCATGGTCCTGAAGGTGCCTCCTTTGACAATATGAAACTTCTTTTGTCAGGCTATTATAGCTGATCTTAGAGTGATTGTTGCCTGGTTGTCCTCCAAACACACTGAGTTGTTCATGTGAAAGGTAAAATGGTCTCTGACAGTGACTGGTCTGTGAACTGGGTTGTGGGCAGCTTCGACACTGGCCATCACAGCTGGTTGGGGAGCTGCTGCCTCACACAGTTTCAGCCTGTCACCTGGTTGTACAAACACTTCCCTGAGTGCTAACTGAAACTTSTTCTTTACTCCTCCCTATGTTTTCACCGTCCAGCCATCCCTTCCTGTCCTGTACACACTGTCCAGCCAAGCAACCCATGAAGCTGTGCACCTGTTGTGCAGGATGCTGGTGTTTGATCCGGTAAGTCAGCTTCCTGTGTTGTGTATTTAGTTTTTTGTTACCAAAGCTGGATTTTAAATATTCACAAGCAGAATTCAGTGGATGTGGAGGAGGTGTCACTTTAAAACAGTATTTCTGCCTGAAGGAAGTGTCACTCCTTCATACTKTGTGTAGACTTTGTGTATCAGCTGTATTACCACTCTGCAGAACTAACGCACAACTCAGGTTTCTGTCAGTGTTGAACAACTCTGAACAACTTTGATGTGCACGTCTGAAACATTGGAGCAAATTTAGTTCAAACAGCACCTGAACTTTATGTGCTGCTTGTTGCATTAATGCAGTGTTGAAGCTCAAAAACACAGAGTGTCTACATTAAGACTCACCAGCTGTGTTTCCATTCACCATGAAAATGTGCAAATTAGAATTTAGAAAATAAATTTGCTCAATGGAAACACGTCAGTTTAGAAAATAATTACATTTTTTAACAAAATGTTTTTGCACTAGGATGAGGTGGTTTTTCAACCGTATCTAAATTGGTGTTTTTCACAAAACTACAA